AGTTCAGTGACATGAAATTTAATTGCACCACACCCCTCTTTGAGAAAAAAATGGTTGTATTTAAATATGTTCGAGCTAAATGTGGCCTCTTTTTAGTGCCAATTGTTAAAAATATATTTCTCTCTAAATTTATTTTCAATAACATATTTTATGAAAAATTAATATTTTTATTTAAGTGAGTCCCTAGACTCTCACCGCATGGGAGGGGGTGTAATCCCGTAGGTACGCCTCAGTGTACCTCTGGCAAATCCCAAATTAGCCCAAAATTAGGCCTGACGAGTAGAAATGTGCGCAGGTTGATCTTAAGGACAAGACGTCACCGTTTAAGTGCGAGCATGCATAGTACACGGTGGACTTTGCCTCGTTTCGTTACGCGTAGTTACTGCCACTCGGCACAGAGTAAGAATAGTGCCGCACTCATTAACGAAACTCTGTCCTCTATCTAAGAACCCTCCCAAGAAAATACCCCGATGAAAATTTTAGAGAGGGGGATCAGGAAAGGTTCAATCCAAAGGTATGCATTTTTGTTCGTGTTAATTTGACCCATTTTCATCATATTTCTTAATGCATGTACCTTTTCTCTTGTTATCTTGACGCCAATAAACCTCAAGATTCAGTCTGATTTGAATTTTTAATTAATTAATTCTTCGATAATCTTTACCAGATTTATCAATTAGAGGGTAGTTACTCATCTTCGATAATTATTTAATTTTAATTTTAATTTTTTTGGTTGAATGATGAAACCTTGGATTGCAGATCGTGGGCAGAACTTGCCTCGAAATTGTTGGCTTCGGTTTCAGTTTAAAACCCATTATTATTAATCTTTCCTGGCATTTAAGGTTCCAGAATTTTACTTCATAAGTTTTTGGGTATCTATATATATCTCGACTGAGAGTTTTTGGGGAATTTTCTGAAATTCAATGGCTATCAAAGGCTTGTGTAATGGATAATAATTTCTAGGGTCAGCTGCAGGGGTGGAGTTTGAAAATCCTGGAACTGGGACTGAGTTTTTTGGGATTCAATCAACCTTTGAATGGCCAATCAACCCCAATCTTCCGTTGGGTACTCTGTTACTATTTCTCCTAGCCCAGGCATCCCATCACCTCGCCTGGATACAAAATTGGGCACCCCTCCTTTCCCCACACCACCACCACCATCATCATCACCATCAGGGCCAAGGTTTCCTCCTCCACCGTTTATACAATCAAATCAGATTCCATCAATGAAGACTCCAAATTTACCATCACCTGCAAATGGGATCCGAACAGTTAGCCCTGTTCCTCGAATGAGCACTCCACCTGGCCCTCCTGTGTTCTCATCACCTCTCCAACCAGCTGCTGTGCCATTCAGAACATCTCCTGCATCTCCTCAGCCTGTCGCTTTCTCCTTGGGCTCATCTTTACCAACATCATCGCCTTCCCATTTTTCAAATGGGTCAGCTGAGTTGCAGCACCAAATTTCTGACGTTAAAGAGGAATTGGCTCATGTTGCAGAATCTCCTAATGTTTTATTCTCAGCTCACAAGGTATATCTCTCTTTTACCTAACCAGTTACATGGAACCAGTGATACCTGGGTTGTAATTTTATAACTTAGGAAAGTGTTAAATAACTAGCCTGGATTGTCTTCAGTCTTTGATTGTAGCATATGAATGTTAACCAGACATTATTTTCTTAATGTCCTTCAAAAGAATTCATATATTATTCCTACTTGTCATCTTTAGATGCATAATTTGACTGGTGACTCTATTATGCCTTGGCTTTCAAATCTAATTATCAACAATATTCTGTTGCTTATAAGATGAACAGCATGCATTTCTCTTATTGTTTGACTTGACCATGTTTACTCTTGTAGGTTCTGAAACAGAAGAAACTAGCCAACGTACCCAGTTTAGGTTTTGGGGCATTAGTTTCTCCCGGAAGGGAGGTTTCACCAGGTCCTCAAATAATTCAACGTGACCCCCATTGCTGCCAGAATTGTGGAGCTTATGCCAATCTCTACTGCAATATTTTACTTGGCTCAGGCCAGTGGCAATGTGTGATTTGCCGAAATTTGAATGGAAGCGAAGGGGAATACATAGCCCCCAGCAAAGAAGAGCTCAGGAATTTTCCAGAACTATCCTCTCTCTTGGTCGATTATGTCCAGACTGGGAACAAGAGACCTGGCTTTATTCCTGTGTCTGAATCTAGAATGTCAGCGCCTATAGTTCTGGTAATAGATGAGTGTTTAGATGAGCCACACCTGCAGCATCTACAAAGCTCCTTGCATGCATTTGTTGATTCTTTGCCCCGAACAACAAGACTAGGGATTATACTCTATGGCCGCACAGTTTCTGTGTATGATTTCTCAGAAGAATCAACTGCATCTGCAGATGTACTTCCCGGTGACAGATCTCCCAGTCAGGAGTCCATAAAAGCTTTGATCTATGGGACTGGGATATATTTGTCTCCAATTCATGCTTCCCTCCCTGTTGCCCATGCTATTTTTTCATCCTTAAGGCCATATAAACTGAATCTACCTGAAGCTTCTCGAGACCGCTGCTTAGGTACTGCAGTGGAGGTTGCCATGGCCATAATTCAGGGGCCATCAGCAGAATTGTCTAGAGGGGTTGTTAAAAGGCCCGGTGGAAATAGCAGAATAATTGTGTGCGCTGGTGGACCCAGTACTTATGGTCCCTGTTCTGTTCCTTATTCTCTCAGCCATCCAAACTACCCACATATGGAGAAAACAGCTTTGAAGTCGATGGAGAAGCTAGGCAGTGAGGCTCATAGACGTAACACAGTGGTTGATATACTATGTGCCGGAACATGTCCAATAAGAGTTCCTGTTTTGCAGCCCCTTGCAAAAGCATCTGGTGGTGTTTTCATTCTCAATGATGACTTTGGAGAAGCATTTGGTGTGAACTTGCAGAGGGCATCTACAAGGGCTGCAGGTTCTCATGGTTTACTGGAAATCCGTTGTTCTGACAATATTTTTGTTAGTCAGGTGGTTGGCCCTGGTGAGGAGGCACATACGGGCAGTCAAGAAACATTCAAGAATGATGGTGCTTTAGCAATACAGATGCTTAGTGTTGAAGAAACACAAAGTTTTGCAGTGTCATTGGAGACTCGTGGAGACATCAAGAGTGATTTTGTGTACTTTCAATTTGCTATTCAATATTTAAATATTTATCAAGCTGATGTCTCAAGAGTGATTACCGTTAGATTGCCTACCGTAGATAGTGTTTCAACATATCTAGAGAGTGTTCAGGATGAAGTGGCTGCAGTTCTTATTGCTAAGAGAACTCTCTTACGAGCCAAAGACTCAAGTGATGTTCTTGATATGCGGAAAATGATAGATGAGAGAATTAAAGATATTGCTAACAAGTTCGGTTCCCAAATGCCCAAATCAAAGCTTTTTCGGTTTCCCAAGGAGCTCTCTTTATTGCCAGAACTCCTATTCCATCTCAGAAGAGGCCCACTTCTTGGAAGTATACTTGGTCATGAAGATGAGAGGTCTGTGTTGCGAAGCTTGTTCCTTAACGCATCGTTTGATCTATCTCTTCGTATGGTGGCACCTCGCTGTTTAATGCATCGGGAAGGTGGAACTTTTGAGGAACTGCCGGCTTATGACCTTGCAATGCAATCTGATGCTGCAGTTGTTCTTGATCATGGCACCGATGTCTTTATTTGGATGGTATGCCACTCAATAAACTCTTTTTCGTTTTGACAGTCATCTTTTAGGTTATGATACTGCATCTGTATAATTTGTCTTTACATTATCGACTGTTGTTTAGGTTGAGTGCTTATATCTATTCACATTTAGCATGACCTTGTTTACCTTTTTAACTTTAAGCTTAATATTGGTAAAATAAATATAGGAGCAAATATCTTTGCAGTGCATGCCTGGCTTAATATTTCACAATGGATGTTAAGAATATTTCTTGTGGAAGAAAAGATAAATATTCCCTTCTCCTAAACTACTTCACTTAGTTACGTGTGTCATGATTATATGGCCAGAAAACCTGTTACTTTTAGCAATAAAGCGTTACTTTGTTTTGGCACAAAACGGAAGCACTAAAACCAGGGAAACATAACTGCTGATAAAGCAGGTGTTACTGCACATAACATGTCCTCCAAAGTCCAAACCTGCTGTTTCCCTGAGATGTTGAGTGGCCACATATACTACTCCTTTTGGGGTGTTACCATTAGGGCTGTAAATTGACCGGATATGAATCGGATCTGTCTATATCCGATCCGATCCGATAATCAAACGGATATTTGATTGTTAAATCCATATCTGTTTTGCTATGTTATTGGATATCCGATCCGATAATCCGATCCGAAATTAAAGAAACTAGGAAAAAATAATGTTGGAATCAACTTTTTTTTTATTTATTCTTTTTCCAATTTTTCCAATTCTTAAACGGATTTAATAATTATAAATTTTTCAACTTTTTTATGTTTTGAATTTGATAACTTTTTTATTCTAAATTTATTTATTTTAATCACAAATAGCATGTCATAAAAATATTTTACTGAC